GGCAGTAGAGAACGTCGTTTGTTTCTATACTGAGTGTGGACGGGGCTGGGTCGGTAAGGCGCACTCCTCGCCCTCCCCTCTCCTCCTCACCGTCCCAGTCCCACCTCCCTCCCCTCCCTCGCCGTGCCCTGTCACCTGGACGGAAACGACACAAGTGACCCGACCTCGGCTGGTGAATAACGAGCGCGCCGCACGCGGCCGCGCCGGCCGGCCCGCATTTCACTGCCGTTTTAATTGCTCGGCATTGCAGGCAACTAAGGACGAGTCAACTCGACAATGGATGGCCCGTACTGAGTGGGCGAACTTTGGCCCGTCGGCGCCGCCACCCCACTTCCGTCGGTGCCTCAAGTGGAACGCTTCCGCTCGGTTTTTTCGTCTGGAAGCTGCACACGTCTTTTGAGGAGCGTTTAGTGAGATAGTAAAGTTCTGAACCCCGTCGATGGCATGGTCGTTTGGAGTTATAGTCGACCTGCGACCGATGCGGCCCCGCCCCGATTGGTGGACTACTACTACAACGCAGGCCGGACAGCGTGACAGCGTGACAGTTTGAGCGGCGCCATCCGTCAGCCGTCTCTGTCAGCGGCGCCGGGCGCGGCGCGACATCAAACGGCCCGGCCCATCCGACACGGCACCGCGCCCCGTCAGCGGGCTTTGTTGGCCAATGGCCGTATCTGCCGACATAATGCCGCCATCAAAAAGGTGGCGCGCTCCGAAATGGGCCGACCTAATTAGCGCGAGCGCCGAGCGATGACCCATTTGCGTGAAACTGCACGGGGTATTTTGTTGGCTCCACTCAACGCTACCTGTTCCTGATTTCGCGTCTCGTCCCCTGTTCCTGGTTTCATTCCTGGTCTGCAAACATTTACCCATTTACCTGTCACCCTTCCCCGAGGATGACCGCTCGCCGGGGTCGCTCACCGTCTCCGGGTTCCTCAGCAAACACCTCCCGTCCGTCTCTCCGCCCGGCCGGTCGGCTGGTCGGTGGGCCGCGGCGCGCTACCGTCCGCGCGCTGTGTTTATGTTTTGGCGCGGTGGCCGGCGGGTGCGGCCGGCCGGCGGCAGGTGGAGGATACTCTGAGTCAATATGGAGCCGGTCCAAAACACGGCGTCTCGCCGCCGCCGAGCGTGGTTCCTGGGGAGACAGCCGGGCTCCGGGCGGGCCGGCGGGGTCGACTAACGTCTGGGCACCGCCCCTCCACTGCCAACCCGCTGCGGGGCCGAGTGGCCACTCGGAGCAGAAGTAGGTGCTTTTTCTGCATCCCATGAAGACGGCTTGACTAATGCAATAAAATCGATTTATCGCGGCCGTGCGAAGAATCCCGTCAGGAGATCACCGAGGAGCTATTTGCTTATCGAATTTTTCTCGGAACTTGGAGTTGGAGAGTTGCCGATAAGCATTGGATTCCTTCCTTGTGTTGTTTCAGGACGTCGCTGACAGAATTCAAAGCAGCATGAATTCCTGCACCTCCGTGATCGCGTGGACCTGCATTTTTGACTGAGCTCTGAGGCTGAGTCGCAGGTGGCGGCGGACAGGGAGGCGGTGTGTTCCGGGGTAGGTATATCGAGAGACGTCTGTTCCGGTTGCGGAGAAGACTCGAGCTGTGGACGATTAGAGGTCTGGACTGGACGTTCGGGTCGTGATTTTGTGTAGCTGGATTGCGTTGGGAACGTGGATGCAGAGGTGCGCTCCAAGGAAGAACGATGCATTCGATAGGCATGTTGATTGTTGGTGTGATAAGCATAACCCGACAAGTGATGAAATATTTTTTTTTGCAAGTCAAGCAAATCTTGTGAGTCTTACATAACAACGGTGACTGGTTTGAGTGACTCTGGTCCAAACTCCAAACTGTTCACGTCGGGAAGTACTGAGCTGATCCGATCCGCCCCGCCGCGACCGCCTCGGCGAACTGCCCACGACGACGTTGGTAGGTACTCGTCGCGCGGTACATCAATGACTCCCTCCCCTCCCATTCCCTGTCCTCGTCCCATCCCGCCACACCCATGTCGTCAGTCCCTGCTCCCAGGATGACGTCACAGTACGGCTAACAGGCCGCCGGGTTCGCCGGCGGGCGTTACGCCGAACCGAGTCAGGAAGGCGTCGGTTTCGGGAACCGGCGCTCACGAGGCCGCCACGCCGCCGACAGCTCCAAAGGCGCCGCCGTGCAGCGCAGCGTGGCACTCCCGGCGCAGCGTGGCAGTCGTGGAGCGCCGCCCGCCGCGCCGCGCCCGTGTCTGTCTCTCAACTGTGGCGACTGTTGGACCAGATAGCTTACAGGCATCGGCGGCGGGGGCCAGAGGTCAGAGGATGTCGCACCTTCTGAAGCTGAAGAGATGAGCTCGCCCGCCCGACCCTTCCTGGCAAATAGCATGGTCTTGATTCGTTCTCGATGTGACGGCGGAGCTGCGTGCGGCTAGACGAGAAACGAACTAGTCAGCGGCGAGGTGGGAGTCGGAGACTGATGATGCGTCGGGAGGTGGTATCTGAACACGATCCGGGGCGGCGCGGGTCTCTCGGAGGGTGATTGTGGAGGCCCGGGCGGCGCCACAGACCGGTTTGGACTATCAGTCGCCCGGAGACATGGCTGGCCAAAGTGGCCGGGCAGGGGAGACGTACTCTCATCGTGGGAAGCTTCTTCGGGCGCTATCACAGATGGAATGATTACCAACCCAACTGCTATGAGCTCGTGGCACGGCACAGAAGAATGAGACTTGTTCCGTTAAACACCGGTAAATCATGCCTGGTGGTGGGTTTTGGGGCAGTGCTGGGCCGCGATGGGCGCTACTCTGCATTTTAGCCGGCCGTGCAGCCGCGACGTGGGGCTCTCACGGAGTTGTTGGTCGCCACGGAGATGGATCTGAGCGTCTGTCGCCGCCGGCGGAGCCGCTAGAGGGCAGACCCACGTCAGGAGGGCGGCTCTAGGAGCCGGCGGCGGGGCCGGCAGCGATCCCAGCCGCCCGCCGGCAGCAGAGCTGGCTGATTTTGTCTGAACGGGGCATGCTGCGCCGTCATTAAAGACAGCTCCGCTGAGGGCCGGGAGTAGCTGCTGAGAGCAGTGAAATTAATGCTAATCTGACTCATGCCGCTGATCATAATGGGGCATACATAGCCGAGTTATTAAGCTCGCAGACCGTATACGCCTAACTGCAATCACGTCCCACCCGTTTGCTTCGTTGTTTCGTCTTTCTTCACGTTTTCTTCATCATTGACGGGCACTACATCCTCCCGACGATTCCTCCATTCCGTTGCCTCGTGGTGCGTTACGGCGTCCTGGGCTGACCGGCCGTTGTCTCCTCAGTGGCCGCTGCGCTGTACCGCCGAAGCCGGTCGGTCGGTCGGCGCGGTGGCCGGTCTCCGCTGCGGGACCGGACGGCGCCGGCTTCCGGCAGCGATCGGCGCGGATAAGGGGGCCCACCTGGCGGGGTGGCGCCGGGCCAAGCCGCACTGGACGACCTTGACGCCGGCCAGCCCAGTCACCGCACCGCGCCGCGGGTGGCGGCGGCGGTTCGGGAGCGGCGCGGCGGCGGCGGCAGAAGCAGCGACGCTAGAGGCTCGGTGTGGCGCTGGGTCGCTGCACCGTCGATCCTCCGCCGCTTGATCTGACCAACACCACTGCCGCCGTCGGCCACTGATGCGTTGCGGACCATGCTGTTGTAAATGTTTTTTTTTCGGATGTTAGAAATTGTACGGGAATGTTCTTCACGTTGGAAGGAATAGAATCGTTCACAGGTCTCTGTGAAAATTTGGTGTTGGTCGTGGAAAGTTACCGATAGTTTTTAGCGGCGAAGAATGAACGAGTATTTGACGGACTGCAGAAGCAGCTGGCATGGGCCATGGTTCGTCTAGGAGGCGTGCAATATTCACTAATAGCTTGTGGCGAACGAAAGGCAAATATCATACGTTTCCATATTCTGGGATAGGTGTTTGTTGTTTTCGGCACCTGGCTTTCATTTCAATAATGAATTTTGATGCCGGAAGAGGACAAGCTACCTGTCGAACTAATTCATGCCGTCTTTAAAGGTCTACGGGTCCTCCGACATTTGGGCTTCCTTCCTGCGGTTACGAGGCGCAGCGGGCGGGGCCGCGGCGTTGCGTGCAATCCGTTATTTCCGTGAGGTCGTTTGCACCACCTATTATGGGCCTGTACGCATGAATATTTCACCCGCACAATATACAAACATCAGACGGAAAGTTCAACGTGTCGTCCTAAATCATAGCGCGCTACGTGGTAATACTCCACCCGACAACGGCTCACTGAGTTGAAATGTCAATTCTGGTGCGTCCACCCTGCCCCCGTACCGGAATCTTGTCGTGTTGTGTATCGGGAACCACAGCCCAAATTAGGCATATCTGCTCGTTACAGATGCTATAACTTAACAGTCAAATTGGCCGCACTGTTTCCGGACGTCTGTCAGTCTGCATTAGTCATGCATGCACGTCTCAAATCGGTCGGCTCTGGCATTGTTCGGAGATATGCCGAGAATGCTGCTAGGCGGCCGTGGCATGCGGCTCGACGGGCCTGCACAGACAGATAGCTGATGTCTGCAGAGTCCAGTGTCCAATTATAATATGATCGCTGGTACGGGAGCGTGGGATGCCTCTGCTGAGTCGACACCCGTGACAAGATGCTACATTACCTATATCTGCGCCAGAACGTCAATGCCAGTGACAATGACGACGTCTTGCCTCAGACATCACAAGAGTTTTTAGCCCACAAGGATGAGCCTTCACGGCTCGTGTTTTGACACCCGTGTAGGTTGTCAGTGGCAGAGCGCGTCCAGGAAAGAAGTGGGACGCCGAACCTGAATTTGTTATTATGACTCAGTTCGGCTCAGCGCTGTCAGGAAATGCCCTCCGCTGTCGGAGCCGCCATGGCGGTAACTGGGAGAGACGGACATGGATATTAACTAGGCAAATGGAGACCAGACCCCAACGCTAGCCCATGGTTGTGCAGCCGAACGCTCAGCGAGACGCACCACCGACAATCCTGACACTCAGTAGGTAATCATTATTCAGCTTTGTATTTACATCACACATGCTCGGATAACACAGCTGGCATACCTTTACAAAACGGCGGCGGCCGTGTGCCGTGTTGGGCTCCGCAGCGGGCCTCGTTACTGTTGAGTATCAACACGCAGTGCCTGGCTGGACTGCCGAGAGCCCGCGCACGGCGCACGCCGCCGCCACAGAGCACAGAAGGACGTCGAAGAACTGATCAAGTCGAGGCCGTCGAACGGAGGGCCAGTCAGCGGCGACAAACCCAATAACAAAATACAAAACAACGCGCTCTGTCATCACAGATTATTGTACTGTACAACGTAACCGCCCGCGAAGCCGACCTTTGCAGCGTGAGGCGCCCCGCGCCACCGCCATAGCGACCGGCCCCGTAAACATAGAACACGCATACATCAACCAGTAAGGTAAACATCCAACGCAACCACGCAGCTCCCTGTTCTCCGCCGGTCGCGAACTGTTCACGGCCGACAGAATCCACCGATCACGGCTCTCGGCCGCCACTCGCACACCAATCAGAGCGCTCGGAGAGCACCGCACACACACCCGGCCGCCGCTGTGAATGGGACCAGCCCTCTGACTGCGCGCTGCGCCTGTGCGAGCGTCCCGGCGTGCTCGGTCGCCGCGCGCCCTCCCTGATTGAGCCGCACGAGTCGGCGCCGACGTCACTCGCTCCCCGACACCCCTGGTGTCCGCTCGTGGCTGCCGACACCGACGACCGTGCGCCCTGTTGACTCGGATTCTCATTTCGTCGCTCTGCCGTGCGTGGACGCTCACCCATGCCTCCCGGTTCCGCCGGCTCCGTCAGACACGGACAGAGCTCCGCGAGGCCCTCAGTATCCGTCGCAGCACTGTGGGTCACCGATCCGGTCACCGCTTCTCCAGTGGAGTGACTTTCGGACGTCCTCCACACGCGGTGCGGTGATCGTAGTCCACATGCCCTCTCAATCCGACAGTGGAAACGTCGGTCCACACATCCACACAGCTGGCGGCGGTCCACACGCGGACGTCCGCGCGTCCCCCACAGGGCGCTGGACGCTCTCGGAGACCCGGGTAGCGGTCGGGACAGCGGCTCGGTCAGCGTTCACGTCACCAGCGGCAGGGCCTGGTCGCTGCTGCTCTGGTCCTTCTCCTGCAGTTTGATCCACGTGTCGCCCAGCGCCTTGGCAAAGTGGTCGTCCACTGCGATCAAAGCAGAGAAACAGTCAGTATCGTAACACAAAAAGCGGAAGGCAGCCACGAACCATTTGATGAAACGTTTCTTTTTATCATTTGTGAAGCGCAATGTGGCAGCCTGTTCGAAGAAGGTGTAGGTTATTTGTGCGTCAAGCGCGATTTTACTGCCCATCGCATACTAGTTGTTCGTCGAATCAATACGTTCGACGTAAACTGCTCGGACATCGTTCTATCCGTCTCCAGCACCTACACTGGTAATTCACCTACACACGCCGTGCTCTTTGAACCCACAAACTGGCAACCATTACACACGCAGTTTACACAGCGAAATATTGTCCGGCTCGAACAAAATGGCTCAGGATTTCCTGGACTCGTTCGGAGGACGGTACAATGACATCAGCACGAGTTCGGACTAACTCATCGTTCAACGCCCCCGGGCGATACAAACCAAGCACAGAAAGGGCGACGCTATCGTGATGATTCCCATCCTTGATTGCCTGATAAGACTCTGAATGGGCCAGAGCGGTCGAAAATTACCTGATGAGCTCTCAGGAAACGGACCGCTTTGAGCAAGTGACCTTCCCAGTTCTTGAGAACAGGATGTGCGATGCCAGGCGAGTGAGCCATTTAATAACTTAACCCGTCTGACTGCAGTAGGGTATGGGCAGCAGATTCGCCCCGAACTTCGTAAGCTAGCGACGCTGATTGACTCAGAAACTCAATTTAAATGTGACGTCCGCTCTCTGTCCTGACTGAGCGCTCCGGGCGCCGGGGCGGCTACCAAAGGCTGCGAGCGGCCCGTCCGAAACGGCGCCGCAATCATACGTCTTCCGAGTCTAATCTGTCTGGCTCGGAACGAATCTGTCCAGCCCGGCCTCCGCAGACACCTTTGTCATCCAGCGACCTCTGATGACCTCGGGGGTTCGGTGACTCTGTGACCCTTCAATGGACCCAAGCAACTCCCGGCTACTCTGTGACCCTTCAGTGACCAGTCGGTGGCACGGCGACCCCTTCAGTGACCCTCTCAGTGACCAGTCGGTGGCACGGCGACCCCTCAGTTACCCTCGGTGACCTGGTAACTGACCTGACATGCCAGTGACGTCCTCCTCTCTGGCCTGCGGCGGTGACGGGGTGCTGCTGCTCTTGAACAGTGATGCGTAGTGTTTGCCTAACGAGCGTCGGAAGTGCTCATCTATCACCGGATCGCACACGCCCGGGAAGTCTGAAACAGGCAGAGAGGCACGGGTCAGTCGGCTGGCTGGCGGTGACGCATGGCGCCGCAAGACCAAACAGCTTGGACGGGAAAATAGTCCCAGCGGCGGAGGTCACGCACTAAAGATTGCATCTTCCCAAGAATGACTTTGTAATGCTGTCAGGGCCGGTTATCGGGCCGGTAAATCGCATGATAAGAGCAGCACAGACACGGTATTACACGGCGTTTTAATGGCGTTACAACAGACTGTCCAGTTCTTCTGGCAGGCGTGATGTGATTGCGATTGCACGGCGCGCGGCGCCATTCAGCTATAGACAGGAGAACTGACGGAAAACAGCATCTCTGCCATCGGCGCTGTCACTGCCAATCGGTGCCAGCTGGTGCTGATACGGTCAAAGGCCGTCGGTGTCACTTATGGCGATATTTCCAGAGAGCTGACTGGATTTCATGTCTCGCCTCTGAACATATAAAAATGCTAACCATGTGCCTCGCCAAACAACCTTACCACCGTTCCACTGAGATAAACCTGGACAGAGTGGGAAAAAGTTGCCGTTTCATACTGCTAGGTCAAGCAGTTGACCAGTGTTGGCCCGCCGAGCACGTTGCCGGCCGGCGGCGGTCGGTCGGTGGGCGCGGGCCGACGCTGCGTCCCGCGGGCAGCCGCCTCCAACGGTCGGCGTCCTCCTCCCTCCCGGTCCGCCATTACCGAGAGGCGTCCGCCGCCGGCCGCCCAGGTGCACCGCGCTGTCGCAACACGCACCCTATTCAAAATCGGACGAGATAAAGGTTCTTGATTGTACACACGGCCGCGTCTGCCGGGCGGGACGGACTCGCACGCGGCCGGCCGGCGCGGCGGCAAAAACGACTCGGGCGGACGGCGCGCGGACGACGCGTCGCCGGATCCATATTCATCCGGAGGAGCCGTCGGCGGGCTGTACCGGCGTCCAGCGTCGACAAAAAGCCGGTCACGACGACCGGCCGTGTCCCGGTGTTACATATTCGGTCGGGCCGTCCGCGCCGCGGGCCAGCCCAGCGAACCATAATACCTGGCCGGGCCGGGTCGGGCCCCGGCGGCGGCCGCCATTAGGGAGGGAGGGGAGGGAGGACGGTCCGCTACACGGGAGGACGGCTGAGGAGGAGGAGGTGAGCCGGTCGGCCGGCCAAACAGTGGCGGCACCGCGGGACGCCGCGCCGCTCCGCACTCGGCGGCCCGGGCCACAACACGGAGCCCGGCGGACGGACCACAACAGACCGGCCCGCGGTCACTCACATCCACGGCGCCGACACAACCTCCGCACAGGAGCCAGTGGCGGGCGCTGGTGGCAAGTCGTCAAGGAGATGGGTCCATATACGTTGGAACACAACCGTAGTATGAAAAGGCGTAAGGAACGTCTTACGTAATTTCTTCAAATTGTCATCGCGCTGGAGATAACGATCCACATCAGTCACTTCAGGCTGTCGCACATGACCTATGCAAAGACCGACCACGACAAATACGTCCTCAGCACGCCATGGTGGCTCGCTTCCTTCCACACATGCACATTTCATGTCATGCATGCCTGTGGGCCTCGGTCAAAGCTGCCCTGTTTCCAAACAAAGGGTTTTCAGCCCTTCAAACGGCCCACCATCATCAATAGCGAGTGCAGAATCGTTCGACATTTGCCGCTGCAGCTTGGGTCGTGACTGGCCCATTTTAGAACTACGGTACGAACGGCCGCTCTGCACACTAAGTGCGACTATTCATTAGTAAACGGCACGGTGCATTACTGCAGTTACCGCAGCCAAATCGCCCGACAAAACAAACGAAACCGAAAACTCGCCCGGTCGTTCGAGGGTGAGTGCGCCGCCGCCCGGCCGCGCCGGGTTGAGTGAGTACAGGAAGACAGCGTGCACTTACACCCTGACGTGCGACATGTGTCGGAGTGAATTATTAAGATGCACAACTTCATGTTGAGCCTAGATAATGACTCTATACGGTGATTTGGGTCATCAAGCAGTGATTAAGCACGGGCCGGTTATATAATTATACAACATATCCACCCTGCGGCACGAGCATCAAGCCTCGGCAGAATTGAATAACAGCGTGCTTGCACTGATAACATACACCTCGATGGTGTGTGCAATTATGCGGCGGCCTGGCGCTTCCAGCATTGTTCCCATAAAGTAGGTACGCGGTGTCAGTGAGCGCTGGGGCCCGGTAACTCAGGATGCAATCAATGACAGACAGCTAAATGTCCCCAGGAAGAACCACTTCCACTTCATGAAACGTTTATTCCCTTGCGTAGCTGGACCCAGTCGTATTTGTAAGACTTGGGGGCTCAGCTTGGAGACAGGGGTCGGCCGTGAAAAGGCCGTGACTTTTCACGGCCGTGACGGTCGGCGTTACGCGTCACGTGTGTGATAGTTGGTGACACGACCCCCGGTGACCGTGACACTGCCGGTGTCCAGGCGCGTTGTCACCAACACGGGCGCCGCCACGCGCTCCGAGCTCGTACGGAACTGCCATACAACCGAGCCCGCCGAAAACGACCAGACTCCGTCACGGACTTCCTAGAACTCATCACCGCCAGACTTAACAGTCTGATGGTGTTAGGACAACTCCAGTCGTCATCCGCTCGCCGACCCCAGCTCGACGAATGTCCAGGAGACGGACCACCTTCACGGTCCGTGTCTCAATTTAGCCTCTCGACCATAACTCCTCGAGCATGCACTACTCCTTCCCCGCGGCCGAGCCGGTTCGGGCCGGCGCGGCCATTGATAGCTGCTGTGGGGCGCTGGGCGCGGAGCCGCCTGGACCGGCCAGCTGACGTCATTTCCTGGCGTGACCGGCCATAAACGGAGCCGCCGGGACGCCGGGTACCTACATGGGCGGGTCGCCGCCCCTCCCCGTCCGCGGCCGATGTCGCCTCCGATAGCACGAACACGCCAGGCGGCTCCGAAACCGCCGGCCGGACAGAGTCGGCTCATGGAGGCGTTTGGACTCCGGTAAACCGCCGAACTGGTCACTCAGCGGCTAGAATTGAACACAGTTTGGACTCTGGTAAACCACTAGACTGGTCACTTCAGTGTCTGGAAATGAACATTGACAAGCGGTTGTGGGAACGACCACCAGCCAGCCCGGCCACACCTTGTCGTTTTTTGCCGCCGCGACCGCCCGGCGACGACAGACTGTCGTGCTCGTCGTTGCGTCAGCAGTCGCTCATGAATGGGCGGCGCCAAGGTTGTCGGGTCGGCGGCCGCTGTCGGATCGGCCCTGCCCGCGACATGTGCCCACCGTGTGAGGCGCAGCGTCCATCAGTGTTCGACAGGCTCAATGTAAGCAACGGCCGGGGGCCCGGGGCCGGCGCGGGGAGCGCCGTCCACCACTCAGCCGCCGCCGCCAGTCCGCCCATTCATTGAATACTCGGCGGTGCTAAGCTGGCTGCTCAAAACAAAGCTTCAACCGCCCTGCATCGCCTGCATCGCGGCATCCCAATAAGCTATTCGTGTCTGTCCATGTTGGGCGCCTTTCCGGTCGCCAAATCGGCCCAGGTGTGTATGTAATTCACTCCGCCCTAATCTGGTTGGACAGGCCGCGCCGCAAACCTGGCAGACACCGGTTCACAGACTGCCGAGTAAGGCAGCTAAGCCCGGCGCCCGTTACAGCCCGCATGATACCTTCATAATATGCCGCGACAGCGATGCTTAGCAGTGTATCTGGCATAATGCAGGCCTGCTAATGCGGTGTGTGTCTCAGCGGCCCGAGCGCAGCTTTGACCGGTCTGTGTCCGGCAGACTGCTGGGATGACTGACAGTCGGCGGTCCCCCGGCGGTGCCTCTGCCGGCCCGGCCGCCCAGCTGCACAGCCGGAGCCCGGGGTGCGGCCCGTCCCTCTGCTGGGAGTGGCGCGGGCGGCCCCCGGCGGCCCCACGCAGCCGTCCCAGCCGCCGCGGCAGCCAGGGGCGCCTCCGCTGCAACATTCCCCGCTGGACAGGTGGCGTTCCACGGATTAGACGGATCCCACCGCGCTTACAGACACCAGCCCTCAATGAATGGCGCTGATAAGCGCGACTAGACGTCACCTGGCCAGCCGGTTTAACGAATATTTGCAATGCTCAGGCATGATTCTGTATGCCAAAGCACACGTCGCACATTTTTACATCAATTAATGACCTGAAGTAAAAAAGGCTGCTGCAACCCGTGTGATTTGACGTCCTTGTCCTATATCATATTATCCTGCATTGTCGAAACAGTATTCATCGCGATGAAAATAATGAGCCAGCGTTGCAGCGAACACTGACTCGACTTATGTAACGTTGGTCTCGCCCACCTGCTCTCTCATGCGCCAGCTCGCTACTGAGTACCGCCGTGACGCCCGCGGCTGTGTCCTCTGCGCCCGGGGGCTGAGTCACCCCACCCCCACCCCTCCCCGCGGCCGGCAGTCACGCCCCGGTTCAGTCGGAGACCGGTGACGTCATAAAACGGCCGTCGGAAGACCTGTGACGTCACAAACAACACTTGTCGCCAGCTGAGAGAGGCGGTGGCGTGTGTGAGTCAGCCGTGGGGCGACCCGACCTGACGGCCTCAGGCTGTAAAACGGTGAGACTCGGGGCCCAGCGGCCGGCGGCTCGCCCCCCCCCCCCCGTCCCCGTCCGGCGGCGGCAGTCGGAGTCTCGGCCGACGCACACTGGGCCGGTCGCCAGGTCTAGCACGACATGGGTAAAAAAATCGAACTTTGTGGATGTGCAATGAAACCTATACCAATTTGTTCAAAAATGATCATACTACATTGCTGTGGTCTTTGTTTTCCAACACAATTGCTATTTCATGGCGAAAACTCAGCTTAAACACGAACTTCGGAATCGTTTGGACCGAACTCGTCCCCCGCACTCTTCGACAACGTATCTTTGACCCACGAAAACAATCACAATTTGAGGAGGAATTCCACATTTATATACATCAAACGATAGCTCCGGGCCTGCAGAACGCATATAACCACATGAAAATGGCGAACTCTTACTTGGTTATGATGTATTGGCACCACAAATCAAAGATTTAAAGACGAAAATATAATTTCACATAATTGATGTCACACACAAATAGACTTGTAAAAAAAGTACCGCAGAGTACCGCTTCGAAAATCTCGCTACATGTCAATGATTCATTGCACTACAAGATCCAACAGTCATTTTTTGCGACTTTTTGCGACTTTGGATGTAGCAGCCAAACATCAACCCGCGCCGGACCGGTGCTCGGCGTCAAACGCGCCGGGCCGGGAGGTGTTGATTGAACCCCTTCTAACTCGGCTGTTGGGCCACATAGCGACACGTAGTAAGTGGCATTCGAAAGAGCGCCCAAAATTCCAGATGGAGTAATTAGTCATTTCTAGGTCAGGTCAAAGGTCACGTCACCAGAGGTCATCAAAGGTAAAATGTTGCGTATATCAACATTTCTCGAAAACCGGCCCTTACCACGGGGACCAATAGAGCTATATCGTCGCGGAAAAGTGCATTCAATTGCTCTTTTAGCAGTCTTTCTGAAATAAGCCCTCAGATTTGGCTTAACCCTCGCCCCTAGTGGTGTTTTTCCAGCCGCGAACGTATAGAAGGGTCCGTTGGACCCCCCCCCCGCCGCTTCGCCCCTGATCGAGCTAGAGCTTTGCGGAAAAGACGAGAGTGTTGCCCGTGACAAGAGGAAGCTGATGATACCCAATTGTAAGGTCCTAGGTCATCGGTTGACCTTCCAGGTCAGGTCAATGACCCAAAAGTCGGGAAAATCGGGACCTGTTAGAACGTCGTAAAGGGTGGCTGCTTTGGGTTTTTTGGGTGCTGATCACGAATATAATGTTATTTACGATCATAGATGATGTCTTCATACATTTAGACCAGGTCGGGTCAGGTCAGGTCAGGTCAACCAGTAAGGGTTTTGCCGGGTATTTGCAGTAGGTGGCAACCTCCTCTAACAGCTTTGTAACATGTTACGAAGGCACCAAAGCTACATAGTAAATGTTCAAATGGTTGCTAGATTCGAATTCAGCTCCAAAAACTAGCCTAGAAACATGTAAAACTCGAAAAAGTGAACCAAGGTCATCAAGGGTCAATGACCTTACCTGACCTTCTGGTGACCTTGACACCCACCCTAATGCATGGGAGCAACATAATATCCCATGTTTGAACGCTTTAAACCAAGAAAAGACTGCAAACCCGCGGCTAATGCGAGCCGACATACGCTGAATCGCGATTCCGGCCAAACATGGTCTCGAAAGAAAGTCACAGGTCAAAGATCATTAAGGTCAGAGTCATGAAATTTTCAGGTTAGCTGTAAAAGTAGTTATCGCGAAGGTACTGAAAGTTTCGTTGCGATTGGCCGCTTTTTACGCGAATTACTCGCGAAAAACCAAGGGTTCCGTTCGAAGATTCAGGCCCTGTCGCGCTAGAATGGCATATCGGCCCACTGTGCGACGGTCACGGTTTGAGCCGGCCGTGACGCCAGACGCCAGACGGTAGGCTGGGCTTTCAGCAGCGCCGCGGTCGGTGATTGACGGTTCCGCTAGGCAGACTGAAGGCTACGGATGGAGCATGGGCGCTGGCTGAGAGTGGTAGAGACCTCAAGCTCAGTCACGAAGGGCAGTACGACCCTATGGCCCGTACGGTCTGGCGGAACCCACAGACGGGCACGTCCTATGGTCTGGAGAGTGGCACGCCCTGGGACCGTGCCCTGTTTGTCAGTACGCCGCCGTACCGGGCGTGGGTTCGGCCAAAGGTGACGAGCACGGACGGCGGCGTGGAAAGGTCAGACGCCACAGAGACCGTCCACGAGGTGTGAGCGATGCCGCCGCCGCAGGGACACACGTGAATACGGAATCAATTTACCGCCGATATGGGGTATACATTAGGGACACAGCGGGCTGGGTGAACTTTCCGTCCAAATAAGGTCCCTCCCGGAGGCCGGCCTGGGGCGGGTGCGGTGTCCGTCCCGGGTGTGATCGATCGGACACTGCCAGCCGTCAGTCGCCGCGACGGCCGCCTCTCGGTGTATACGTTCGGCCTGCACGGACCGGCCGCTCCGCGGAACCGCCGGCCACCGAGTCTAAACAACCGGCCTCGGACCGTCGCGACACACGGCACAATCGGGCGACCGCCCCGCAAGGTCGTCAGGATGACCGGGCAATGGCAGAGAGGATGATGGAACCCAGAGTTAGTGGATGCTCGGGGTGATTTATGCGCGGACTTTCGCTCGGAGGCTGGTCAAGAGGTATCAAGACACCTCGAGACACCAGACACATTTATAGAGCGTTTCGGTGCTCCCGACCTTGTATGAGCCCGTTCTCACGTCATCATCTCACTCACGGAGCGTGGTCGGTCAGAGTTCATACGATGAGTGGCGCCTCACTCGGCCAGTCATCGTCTCACATCCGGGATAGGTCATCCGTCGCCCGTGATTGCCAGGTGGGATTGTTATCTGCCGCACGCACAGCGCCACTTGTGCCGAGGAGCGATCCTCTCGACAGTTATCCCGCGTGGGTGCGAGCCCAGTGCGGCGTCGCGCATCCGCCTTTCGTCAGCTGTGACAGATCGGGAACCCCTGACCTTTGATGCCCTGATTGACGATTGTGACGCCGTTGGGCGAATTAGCTGACGTCATACACGCGGTTGTTTTCAGGTCAGAGATCGCGTTGACATCGACCACTTCACATCTATCAGATCGTATAAATCTGCAAATCATCTAGGTGTGCTTTGAACCGACGGCGTAATAATTACGAAGCTTCTTTTCGACGGTATAACAAATCCTCTCCCCCACAGTCGTGGAAGCAAACATCCTCCGATAATCTTCGAAGTTCCATTTTCTCTCGGAAGCATCCTCTCTCACAAACCCTTCCGTCTCCCGGGCACACCCACCTTTGATGACCTCGCGGGTGCGCAGCTCGTCGGGTCGCAGGTCGCCGTCCGACCCGGCGTCCTCCGAGTCGGACCGTCCGGGCCCGCAGGTGATGACCGACGGCCGGCCCAGCTGCCGACCGGACGGCGACACGGCCGCGCGGTACGGCGGCGGCGAGCCCCGGCGGACCGTCATGTCCAGAGGGCCGTCGGCGCCGCCGGCCGCGCCGCCCTCGTCACTGTACGACGCCGACGAGTCCTCTCTGGAAATGAAAGATGGGGGACGGGTTAAAGGGGTGTCTGTGCTGTGGGTTAGGGAAGAGTGTGCGACGGGTGGACTTGGTAGCGGTTGGTGAGATAGAAAATGATACAATGGACACGACATATGGCGAACGAGTGCATGCTGCAGAAATGAATTGAAAGCATGGCCAATGGGGTGCCCTAGACCTGTGCTGTGCGAAGAACTATGCATCACAAGGCTTTCTTGGCAAGCTCCCATTGATTGGGTGACTTGACTTCACGTCTACCCACTATCGCCTCCCGCCACCTGGATACCCCAGACGGGCCATATCCCGTCCCCGGAAGCCGGTGGCGCACTGGTCCGACCGGCACGGCGCACGGCGCCCGGCTGGCCAGACGCCAGCGATGCGCCTCTGGCCGGCAGCGCTCGGCATTTCCTGCGGTAATGACGGCTAAATGGCGGCTCGGTGCGCGCCGAGAGGGGCCGGGGAGCCGCGCCGCCGCCCGCGGCCCATGTCGGCGCCGAAATCACTCACACCCGGCCGCCGGGGGTCGGTAACTCGCAGCCGAGAATGCGGCGGCGTGCCTACGGCGCACGCCGTGCTCTGGCGTGCCGAGTGGAGAGTAGCGAGTTGTGAGTGCCGTGTGGTGCTAATGACGTCAAATGAAGAGTGGGAGGCTTTCTTTTCGAGTGTTGACATGTTGAGAATAAGTATTTCACGCACTAAAACAAGAGGCGTCATTTTCAATGTTAAGTGTGACTGTCACTCTTGAGCTCAAGTTCAAGTGGGTTCGAGTAGTTGTGTGGGTACGGTGACCGACTGGTACCGACTCAGCACACTTAGGTAGCATGTGGGCGCTGTGATGCCTCCCTGCCCACGGGCGGCCGCCGCGGGCGTCACGGTTCCGCCGCGCTGGAAGTGACTAACAGGCTGTGCCTCTGCGGCCGGCACGGAACGTCCGGCGGCCGCCACACCAGACGATGTGTCACGTGATCACGGGACGTGCCGGCGCGCGCGGCCGGCGGGCCGGTCACGTGACCGGGCGCCGTTTGGGTGAACGGGTCGCCGCCTGGACGTGTCGGGCGGAGTCGCGGCCGGCAGTATCAGGCGACACAAGTGGCGCTCCTGCACGCGGGCCCACCTAACTACCGGCGGAAATTTACTCCGCATTAGGGCCTCAATGGACGGTGAATTAAGGTATGGCGCTAAATGAAACACTAATACCGCACCGTAAATGTAAAGAATGTGCTGTGTGCACAACCCACTGTGTGCTGCGAAAGCATGAAAGCCGCCTTAAATAATTGCATCATCAAGTGTCGCGTTTCATGAACGATTTCAATATTTCACTTGCATAATTTCATTGCGCAGTCTGCAGCTTAGCCGCAAAAAATGTTGTCGTCATAACAACTTGAACAACGGCATGTGTAACGTGCATCAACTTCTCCAAATCCACGCGGGATTTCGTAACATAACCGCAGAAAGCAGAACACAATAGCGGAATAAAAACAGTGCGTGTATGTCAGCACGTCGTCCCATTCGCGTGTGCGTGAGTGTGGGTGGGAGGGGAACGCTTGCGATTGCGAAGGCTGGTAGGTGCGTGCTGTGCGTGACCGGCGAACCGCCCCGGCCTTCTCCGCCGCGCCCGCCGCCTGTTGACGCCGGCTGTCTGTCTGTCTGTCTGTCTGTGTGTCTGGGCGGGGGTGGGGCTGACTCGTACCTTTTGACGCGCATCTTGGGCCCGGTGAGCGGGTCGTGGCGCCGGCTCTCTGACCGCTCCACCTTCCACTGGCGCGTCGGCAGGTCCTTGGTGGGCGACCTCCTGTCCTGGCTGGAGGACGGCGACAGACTCGAGCCGCCGCCGCCTCCCAGCGCGCGCTGCGCCGCCCGACGCCGCAACTCCTCTGAAACAACAAAACACAGACGTGAGTACGTGAACATCGCATCATCGCTCTATATCACAGCTCGACCACCTCCTCGAATAACCATCACATCACGTGACGTCACAACGGCGCCAGGTTTGTAGCTCTGGACAGACCACGTGACAGGCCGTCGTCACCCCTGACCCGGCCGCACCCCGCCGCCGCGCCTGCCGTTATCACTCGTCGTCCAGCCCCGACCCATCGGCGTCATCGCCGCCATCGCGGAGCCGCCTGCGTCACCGTCATCCTTCCGCCACGGTCCCCGAGCTGCGTGCGCGCCGGCGGACCGCAAATTAAGCCATCCGTCAGTACACGCCGGTAAACTGAACAGCACGACCGGCACGTCGCTCTGAGCACGCCGCCGTGCCGGGACGTGCGCCGTTCTCGGGCTGGGACGTGCCGTCGGCGTGGCGGCGTGCTGAGCACGGCACACAGGTATCGAACATCGCGCCTGCGACCGACCGGCGTGCCCGCTGCTCGCGCCTGCTCGCGGAGGTGCCGCGCCTCGCTTGGACGGGTGTCTGTATCGACCGGAGGCGCGCGCGCTCTCCCATGATTAATCACAGTGGAAAAGGTCGCCCGGGAGGCGCGCACCTATTGTCACCGGTATTGATCACGATAATCGGTCCTGCTGGCGGGTGGGGGTGGTGAAGGAGGCGGAGGGGGCGGAGGCACAGGTTGAGAGCGGGCGGGGCGGGCGGGGCGCCGGTCAGGGTAGGCAGGAGGCTCAGGTAAAGGCAGGTCGGCCCTGAGGTGGGGTTACATATCGCGGGAGATCGCGGTGGGGAGGTCAGGCAGAGGGGCGGGTGAGGGTGTATAGAGGACTGGCAGACCTGGAATAGAGGATGGGGAAATCGGGTAGAGGCTGGGTAGAGGGAGGCAGACTGAATCGGCCGATGTCTGCGGTAGGGCGGACGTGCCAGTCGACGGAGGAGGTGTGCTTTCCTGGTACGGAGACAATGATGAACGGATCGCGAATGAGGATGCCGCCTGGCAAGGTCGAAGCCAAGGTGAGAACACGCTGACAAATTGTTGTCTGTGTTGCAAAACCGCGAGCCTTCACAATCTCATCATCTGCAGCAACTGACAATAAAACTCCATCGGTGAAAAATAGCCGCGCTCCTACAGAAAGTGAGTCATCAGGTGTCACCACATCGCACGAACGACGATGAAGACACGCCGCCTCCCGACACGGCGCTTGTCACGCGCGTCACGTAACGACACGGTGTCCTCAGGGTGGTTCGGCCGTCCCCGTACCGGTCGGTCCGTTAGGGGACCCAGGGCTTTTCTGGTAGTCCCGCGGGCCCGTCAGTTACCGCGGCCCCGGCGGTCCCAGCCCGCAGCTCCGTCCCGATCTAACCGTGTCCGCCGCTCAGCCAGGGGCAGGCCGTGCTTCGAATCAGGGACTGAATGGGCTCCGCGCCGTCCGCTCGTCACGCTATGACGGGACACGCAACGACGATAGGACCAGACGCAAAAACAATGCTGCACACAAAACTCAGGTAATGGACGTCATGGTGTGAAAAATAGTCCGCAGGTAGTTGTCAGCGGCTACCATGTAATTGCGTCTACTTGATGCCGTCACAAAGCGGCCTGCCTACGCGGCCGTTCGGGCGCGCCGCTGTCCGTCGCAGGGGCGCCATGCTGCGTCACGTCCTTCTGTGTGCTGTCGGCCCGTGTCCGTCCTTCGGGTCGGGCCGGCATACGGCGCCGGAGGCGCAGCCACATACAAATGCCGCGTCATGACCGCGCCGGCCGAATGAAGGCGGCGGCCGCCCGTCTGTCCGCCCCGGGCCGCCGCGAGGGCGCGTCCTTGTTGATGTGCCGCAGCACGCGACACAATGATTTCTCATGCGTCACGCCAGCGGCCCATCATTAGACTCACCGCGGCACGGCGCCCTTCGGCGGTTTTCACCGAGAAATCCAGCATCGAAAAACCACCACTCAAAGGCAAAGCGCTCTGAATTTGTGGCTTTTGAACTCTGTGCTGAACTGCGTTTGATCGCCTGCGCTTGGTGGTGTGTGAGATAGCTCAGGCGTGCCACGTGAAGCGCCCCTCCCTCCGCCGTAGTAGCTGGCGTCCACAGCCGGGGCCAGAGAGCCCCTCCTCCGCGGGTGTACCGTTGGGCCCGGTGTCCGCGGGTCCGGCGCCGGCGGATCCCGGGTCCGGCGCCGGCCTCATTACGGAGGGTCAGCGTCCCCGGCGCGGCGCCCGGTAAACAGCCACCCCACCGGCGAGGAGCCTTGCCGCGGGCCGCCGCGCGCGGCCGGCTAACAAGAATTACAGGTGTCCGCCGGGCATCCGGCGCCGGCACTGTGCACCCGAGCAGCGCGCCCGGCTGCGGGAGCGGTAGGGCGGTGAAGCGGGGCGGCCGGGACCAGTGGAGGACTGGCTGAACAAAAACGCACTGGAGGAGACGGTCCGACCGACTGGGCCGAGCTGGGACGGCACGGGACGGGGTGGGATCTGAGACCGTACCAGTCCCTGGACCGGACGGGCGGAAACTGGAATATGGGAGAGGGGGAAGACAACCTGTCCCAAGAAAAGAGCGGTCCGCCCGCCGGGTCACCCCTCCCCTAATGACGCCCATGATCGGGCCTAATTTGGGCCCCGGACTGTGTCCCGCGCGCGGCCGGATGCCCGCTCGGGAGAGGCGGTGCCTTTGAAGGCTCGCCGGACACAAGGCATTAGCGGCCATTTCACGTCTTACAAGAAGTGTGAATGGAGCGTCGGGCTTCTTTTGTGCGCGCGGCTGTCGTCGAGGTAATTTTACGGCACAGCAGCTCGGAAAGGGCCGGCCAGGCCCAAACAAATACGCACGGGCCGCGGGCACAGGTGACACCGTCCTCCGGCTCGCGGTGGGACGGAGGCCCGGTCCGGTGTCCTGTTACAGGCGCTCCACACCGACCGGCCGCCGGTCCTGACCGCCGCGCGGGGACCCGCGGAACAGGTCGGCACCGGGGTCCCTCAGTGGTGACACGGCGGGAGGAGGGTGCTGATGCATCTGACTGGAATGGTAAGCCTCGACTCCGACCGGTCCCGTGTGACTGTGAACCCACCGCGGTGCGTGGCGCTCTGCCGCTATTGAACTCATTCGGAACAATCGCCAGGATCAGTGGAGGCGCTGACTGAGGCGCAATTCGTCGGGCTTTACGACGTGCGTATAGGTGTGTCGTATCTGTATCAATCCAAGCAGCGTACGCACTACGCAGTACGTACCGTACTGATCCGAACGTAACTGCGTAAATACAAACAACCGAAAGCTGATGGAAGGATTTCACAATCACAATCCACAATTCAATCCGAATTTTCACAGTTTTCGACTCTGTGCTGTGCGATCTGTCCTACCCGCACGACATCGTGAGCTGTTGATGGTTGTTGACAACACAAACAATCAATAACAGCACTGTAAGTCGCCACGTCGGCGTGCATGAAGTGTCGCGATGAAAAATGAACACCGCGAAATAACACCGACAAACAAGGGTTCAGTCAATTTTTGGTGTGCAAACACCTCGTACTACCGATGTTTATAGACTATCGGGAGACAGGCGGGAAATTTGATGGGAAAGTGAATGGTCGACACTCGGAAACTGTGATGACGTTAGTGACTTGTCCACATTTGTACCTTATCGAATAATTTTCTCCAGTAAACGGCTATATTTTTAGAAATACTATATAATCGCCTTTGATTTATTTCTTCTTGATCGGTCGAAGTTATCATACCGGACAGTCCATGGCTTCCATCGACAAAACAAATACTGGTCGACAACTCTTCCCACAGTCATTTAGGAGATTTGCATCCCCAATTTATCGGTAGAAGACAACAGCCCTTGAATGCACTCACCCCGGATGCTACAACTAAGTCGTTGGTGAAAACCGTATGCACTGCAAAGCGCGCGGCACCACTATCCCCTTGTAGAGGACCTGACATTAAAAAAGGTTTTAAAAGTCGAAGTAGTACTGAGGGTCGAAAATGAGCTGGGGAGACGTTACCATTCCCGACCGTCCAAGCTCCACCACCAAGTGGACCACTCAGGTCCAGCCGCGCTGCCCGGCGGCCGCCGCCTCCGTGCGCGTGGCTCCACTCCACGTCACTCACCATCGTCGTCCTGGTCGAACCACGGCTGCCACACTTTCACCCGTGGTCGCTCCTGATCGGACATAGTCGGCGGCATCGGACTGCTCGGCTATGGTCCACCGCCGCCTCTCAGCATCGTCACCGGCACCGAGCGTCGCGCGCGACACGCACCCACCGACAGGTCTCCGGGCCGACTGCCGGCCGCCGCCGCCGCCGCCGCCGCCGCCGCCGCTGCCGCCCGGGCGGCTGAATGAGCCGCGGCGGCGGCGGCGGCGGCGGGCTGTGATTGGTGGCTGGCCGCCGCCGATTGAGGCTGCCCGTACCGCCACGCCAGGTGATCAGCTCACCGGCTGCGGCCCTGGAGACGATGTCGTGTGGAGCATTTGATGGCCCGAGGCCTTACTCGCAGCGGTGCATGGACGGAAGCTAAAATCACGTCAGCCCGGCATGCCTGTAGATCATGCCGACTGTGAGTTACCATCCCGGAGAAAATCACCAAGCCCAGAGCAGCGCTAACGCAACTGTGCTGATGCAGCGAAGCTCAGCTTCCTGAGTCGGTCCTCAGGAGCAGACGCTCGTCGGCCGCCCACACAACCTCCCGTCGACGGCCAGACAGCTCGGCGGAGGAATTTGGCAGCCGCCCGAGACGTCTGAATGCCGCGCGTCGGCCGGCACACGTGAACTATTTGTAACCGGAATGCTTAGGAAAATATTGTCTCTGCCGCTGGCCGGCCGACTTGGCTGGACTCTCGGCTACCTCTGATCGCTGACGGGTGGACCCGGTGGGCCAGTGATGACCAGCGACCTTTCAGAGCTGGACGGTAGCCGAAGCGCGGCCCACAGTGGCTAATTGGACAGCTTTACGCGGCCGGAGCCGGGCGCGGTTTGGCGAGGTCAAACCGC